CTTTGATAAGGCGTTCCCTCCGGCTACTTTTACAACAGTACTGAATAGGAAAAAGAAGGAATTTGAAACATCTAAACTGGCAGCGCAATGCGTAACTCAGTATGACAAGTCTGAAATCTGAGGGATCTATAGAGTTGTCACCTTTTACATTTGAGTCTTTCATAGACTTACTGAATGTGAATCATATTTAATGAATAAGAGAGCCTGAGCTTTAGTAATTTTCAGCCAGAGGCTGTGCTTGCACAGCACTGCCATACTGAATGGGGAGCCTGGCCTAGTACTTCTTCAATAGCAAACACCCAATTTACTGTGCACGCCTACCGAGGGCGATCTATTCTGCATTTGTTATGCATACTGAATGCTTCATTATGTTTATTGTGTTCAAGTTTTTAAGAGTTGCAGCAGTAGATGTATCCCCAGCTATATCTATAACTCCTTCTCTAGAAAAAAGGCTAGAGTTGAAAATATCCCACAGTGGTTAATTTCCTTAAGTAACCAGAGTCAAAGTAATTTATGTCTTCGGCAGCATTCAGTTCAGTAGATAAATACAGCAGTATGTGCAGGGTTTTTTTCTGCCTATATTTCAAGATGGGCCTCCCCACTCTAAATACAGATCTATCAATTCTCTTCCATCCATCAAAAAAAGACAGGAAGGAAACTTCACTTTCTAAACCACTTTAAACATTTTTGGCACAGCATGCAGCAAAACCGTAATAGCCCTTCAACAAAATACAAAATAAAAATCATCTAAACAAGAGACAAGCAACAAACCAGAAAATCATTAACTAAAGAAGGAAGCTCAGAGCAAGAAGGAGAAAAGCACAGTTTATTCTTTTATAGCAGAGCAGTAATTTTACTGCAAGGTCAAAGGAAACTGAAGAGCTCAGCTGGACTGGGCAGTGGCCCAAACCAGGTGGGAGTGCACCAGATCATGACCAAAGGCTTCTCAGATCAAAAATTAACTTTGCAAGTTAAAACCAGACAGAACTCAAAAAAAAAAAAAAAAAAAAAGAGAAGGGATGAAAAAATAACAGATTCCTGGTGTAGGCGATGAGCTCAGCCTAAGAAAGAAACCGTGGACATGTTCTTTGGAAATCTGCAAGATAAAAGGCTCTCTAAACTTCTGTTACAGAGCAATGCATCTGTTAGTGGGGATTTTGCAGAGCTTACTGAAATGTAGCAGTGGATGGGGTGATACCACATAGGAAGCATAGCAAGAAAGGCTCATCTTGTCACTCGGAAGTGCAAGATCAGCTTACAGAACCTATAAAGGGTATCAGTGGGAGGTGTAAGAAACCTGGTGCAATCACAGAAAGTGCTACTCTTCTCAAAATAATAAAAGGTTTGGGTCAGATCATAAGCGATTGAACACAGGCTATTTAAACAACCAAGAAAACCTGAACATAGTTATTAAGAGATTAATATCATCTCCTTGGGATCATGAAAACAGGTATGAAAGCAACTAGTTGTCTGAAGTCTTCATTTGGTAAAATAGATTATCAATCCAAATATGACAAGAGAAAACGAAAAGTTGATACGAGCACACCTTCCCTTGGCTTTTGTCTGCATTCTGCTTGGTAAAGACCTCAGGCTATTAAGCAAGACCTAATCCACCATGAGGAACATGCTTCCTTCAACTGTATCACTATTCAGTTTTCTTTGCATACTCAATTTCTTCATTTACCACTATTCCAGAGAACCATAGACACCTACATTCAAACATGCTCCTTCCACAATCTTACTATGGGCACTGCAGTTTTGGAAACATCAAGTGAAATATCTAGCAACCAAAGTAACATTAGGAGAGACAGCACTGCTTTCCAAGACGCTGATGTTTTATTTCACAGCAACACAGTGCATTCATTTAGCACTGACAAAAGACAAAAATCTGTGCCATGATATTCTTCAATAAAAGATCATGGTAATACTTGAATACTGCCTTTTATTTAAAGAACCTCCCAAAGTGCACTAATATATAACTGCAACATTGTTACTCTTCTGCTCTGGGGTATGCTATGAGGGAAGTGATGGCACTGAAATTTGTTAAGTAATGTGTTCTTACTGCCATGAAGTTTGCAAATGTTATCTAAAAAGGCAGAGTTCAAAACCATGAAAATGCACTGAAAAGCACCAGTATGCACATCTGGAAGGCATACAGAGTATTGGCAATAACCTAGAAACTGTCTTTGTGTACAGTCTGAATAACAGTTGTCTTTCAGTCAATTTTTATAGGACTCAGTGCATGTATGCATTTTTCATTTTAAGTGCACTATAGCTGCAAAGAATAGAGATGCTGTACTGAAGATTCCTAATATAATACGCTAGAATTTTGCCCGAAGAAAGCAGAGACAGTTCTTGCATCCTGGATTTCAAAGGAGGAGGAGAACTCCTTGGCTCAATGGAAGCTATAAATATCACAGAAACATGCAACTACTAAAAGTTCAGGGTTTTTTTCTCTCCAGTGAAGTAGCTTAAAATTTTTGTCACTATCCATGACATTAAAGGTACTGCAGATATCAGCACCTGACAAAGAAAATGAGAAAAAAAAAATCACGTTTCAGAAAGTGAATGTAAGTTTAAAAACAAAAGCAATATCATAAGCCTGAGATCAGAACAAGTAGCAAATTAAGTAACTTCCTGCTTTCGAGGTCTTCCTTCCGAGAGGCTGGCAGTTGTCAGTGTTGCTACAAGACCACATTAGCCCTTCCACAGGAGCAGCATGCTGAACATGTAAAGGCTGAACATGAAAGTGATGGTTGAGACGTTGGTAGTCAGGCCATGAAGAAGTTGAGATGTGGGAGGTAAGAATGAAAGAAGGCATATGAAAGATGACAACAGGCAGATGAGGCACTTCTCCTGAGAAACTGGACTAAACTGACAGATTGAATGGACGGTAGGGGACAGACAAGTAGCCTTTATGCAAGTTTGCATGTTTCAGCTATCTTTTGATACAACAAGGCAATAAGTATCAGTATTTTGCGGCTAAAAACTAGCATGCTGTTCAGCATGTAAGTCTCCCAAACATGCGATCACGCAACACCTGCAGAGACAGGGAAAAACTGCTTCCTTACAACTTGTCTGGTTTATCAGTTTGCTCACACTGACAGTACATGCTTTGCTACATTTTGGAGAGGAAAAACATTCCTGTACTCAGATGAGTGTGTATCTGATTAAATACCCCACTGACTGCAACAGCACATTGCAAAACAATGGCTGTACAACACAACACAGCAAAACGAGCTGAGTAACTGCAGGGGAAGGACAAGTAAGCACCTATTGTCAAGCACGACAAGGAAGGCCCACAACTGTTTTTTCTGAGATGCATCCTGAAGAATTTTGGCACTTCATAATGAGCAAGGCTCCGACGACATTTGAAAGGCAGATTTCAGGAACTAGGTCAATGCTCAGAAAAGTGCTATTTGTATCTTAAACATGAGGATGGTCTTAATTTTCTAAGCAAATGCACACCACCAGATCAGCAGAAACGTACAAAAATGGGTTGTTTCCCTTTTCTCTACTTCTGAACTACATTCTCCAGCTTTCCATGAGTCATGACGCACAGATCACTACATGCTATATTAACATACCTTGTATTTCTTGGGCAATACCTTAACTGTATCATAAAGCTTGAGTCAAGATTTTTATAAGGACTGAACCTCAGGATTCTTGTAAGCAAACAGAATATGTCATTTTCTATCTCAAAGATTTTTAACAGTCATACCTTACTTTTAATTGAAATAAGTATTCCAAAAACTAGGCAAATAACTTTGGCTATATATGGATGCAGTTGGCATTTTCAAGGATTGCATGGCATTTAAGCAACACGAGAGGACTGCAGCTTCCCATGTTGGTATCTCAGAGTTCACCTCCCACAACTGTACTTGACTGGGAGTGAGATAAAGTTGCATTCATTTGTTAGAAATGCTAATGGTCACACTTTAATATTTGCCTTGTCACCCAAGGATCAGTCTGGCATTCAGCCTTTGTGCAGTGCCAATGCCTAACATTAAAGTTGTTTTGTTTTTTTTTTTTAATCCTTTGGCTTCCCTAAAGCCAAATATTATCTGAGCATATTATAATATGAGTTTGCTGTATTCACTCTGGGATTCTCTTGGTCACTGTAATTCCAGCATATCCTTTAGTAGTAACTGGGCTCTTTTCCATGTATTTGCAAGATGACTGCCCTTTCTATACATTCATTTAGCTTGATCTGGATGCCAGACCATACAATGATTTTTCTCACAGTGTTAACCATACTCCTGGTTAATTCAACCTTCATGCAGGTAGATTTTCTCCCAACAGCACTGGACTCAGGAACATACTCTAAAGGAACTTAGAGTCTATGAAACCAAAGAATATTTCCGTACTTTCTGTCTTCCTTACATATGCTTTGAAATGCTCTTATGTTTGCTATGTACTTTTTCACACAACAGCCATACCAAATTCTATTTAAAAAAAAAAAAAAAAAAGTATTTACAGTATGACTGTATGCCTTCACTCTCTTAAGGTTTCATTTAAAAATTAACAAAACAATTAAGGCTGAAATCCTTAAATTAACGTGGAAGAGGACTGGATTTCACTCTGGACTTTTTAACAGAATGATTTCCTTCCTTTGTCATTGTCCAGCCACAGCTGAAGGCAGGCCTTAAGCCATACAGAAGTCAAGGCATCTACGGATCTCCACTGAAAAATGACTTTTTTTAGAATGATAGTTTACATCCTCCTCACTCTTCCCTTCATTTCCCCTCCTCAATTCAAACAAATAAAGGCTCTTTCCAAAGACTTTTGAGAGATTTGATCTTAAGGACAGGAAAATATCTGTGTGACAACAGTCTAGAACACACTTTTTTTGTCCCCACTGAGCCAGGATGTTAGTCAGTACCTTAATTCTCATGAAGCTTGGCCAAACAGCACTAATTTAAAAAGCCATAAAAAACTAGAAAATACGAACAATGTAGTTAATTACACAAAAACAAAGCAGTGCCAATATTCATACTTACAGGCTGAGGCTGTTCTGCAATACAGCAGTTGAAACACAACCAAAACTCACTCATTGTTTACAGTCTGAAGTGGGAACACAGATGAAAAGCAGGACTCAACCTCCGTAAATCTGTCTCCAGGTAGCAAGTTCTTTAAATAGGTTTATTTATAATGGCTCCAACGTGAAAATCTTTTCTCTGTTGAGCTCTTCTCCAAAGACAAGTCAGTCCCAGGACAAATAACTTGAAGGCAAAAAGCAATTTTATGATCTTCTTTCAGAACGTTGGTCCCAGCACCACAGAAATGTTATGTATGCTTCTTTGGTCCCTAGCGTTAAGTGAACCTGAAAATAGAAGTATATTACATCAAAAAGAAAGAATATATAGAATCTCCTGCTCCCAGACAGCCACCCACACCAGTCAGTTCTTGGTAATATCTTGAGCCACAGACTGAAAAGACACTATCAAACAAGTCTTACTTCTACAGTGACTATCAAAAATGGCACATACCAGAAATCCATATGACACATTCATTCCAGTTTTGGTAAGATGGAAGTGATATCAAGAACTGGTGTCCAACCTTTTGACAGCCATCTCTGTCTGATCTGTTTCTAACTTGCAAGTGTCATTTTAGGAAATTACGATTGCCCAAGTGCCCCTTTAAACCTCTTGGGGAATTGTGCCTATCGACACTTCATATTTCTCAATGGAAAAGTTACCCAGTCCATTCACAGTGAGAGCTTTAAATAGTATTTAAACCCAACCCCGTCACACAGCTGGCAGGTAAAGGCATGCTTTTCTAAATATTGATGAAACAGAAATAAATTTCTGTATATGGAAAATTTGCAAAATGGCTGGACTTGGTCAACTCAAGGTATTTTCCTTCCACTCTCTCTACCCTCCTGCTTCACTTCACGTACAGTTGACTTCAAAATAGGAGATTACTTGTAGAGTTTGAAACTGTTTCCTTAAACCTCTAAAATTCTTCTTGTGGAACAACTGACGCTCCAGATTCCAACTGTTCCTTTGCTAAAATAATGTTTATTGGTTAATCTCCAAGCTGGTTTCTTTCAGCACAAGTGCAATAAAAATTCCTGTGATATTTCACCCTGGTCACTTATCTTACCATCTATCACAAACTTTACTTGCAGAGAAAGTGAGATAATGAGTATTCAGAAGTTTTTATATGCATACTCCTCAATAATTCTATATGCGACTGCATTTTCATTCATAGAAATGTGTCCATAACTATGCATCATTATTTGTATGCAATTCCTCATAGTATGAAGTGGCTGGAGACTCCATGGGATACATAAATTATATATAAACACATGTACATGCATGCACATTCTGTGACAGAGCTGTCCCACTTAGCTACTGCTGTCATCAGTTCTCTACATGCTAAGCACATAAGCAATGAGGTCTCTCATTTAGTACATACATGCCAAGTTACTGTACCGCATCCACTACTACCCAGGTACTTTCCAGGACTGTTGGCTACAATACACACATACTGAAATACATTAGCACCTTTCCTGTATTAAGTCCAAAGCCTTTGGGAAGCTTTCCCACTTCTTACCTTTTAAGAGACTAACAGAGGCTCCTCAAGAAATAAGTGCATGCTGCAGCATCACCATCTAAATAGCAAAACCCCAGCAAAAGTATTTGTCTCTCCTAGCTTTGAAATAGCTACTGGTAGTGTTTAAATTAAGTTTATATACCTGTTTGTGGCATCTCTTGCCTAAAGATCTGAATAGGAAGGGGGGAAAAATGCTATGCTAGCTTTTCCTACCCCTAACACCATATAGAGCAAAGCAATTTTATTAAACAGAACACCTTGAGGGTAAGAAAAAAAAATAAACAAAAATCAAGATATCCTTCTACACAAGCTTTCTTTTGTCAGACACTTCAAAAAAAAGGTCTTAGTACAGTCCTAACATGACATATTTTCACTACTTAAAAGATGATTTTTTTCCTACCTCAAAGATTATAATCTAAATCCTCTATGTGTATCAAAAAGCTGCAATAAGACATGGGAATTATCAATGAACAATGTGAAATCCAAGAATGAAAATAACTGTAAAAGTCTCTAAGGAAGTTCTCACTTCATAATTAGATAGCTTCACATCATTTTCTCAATTCTTCTAGTTACTCAAAGTTTGACAAACTTTAAATAGCAAAAGCTGACTAACATAGAAAAGCTTGATTAAAAAAAAAACTCTACTGTTCTCTGCAGTCTCAGAATTTGCATGCTACATAATTATTTTCTAAATTTGATTCAATATGTAACAAAACTGGAACTAAAACATGATTGACTCCTGTTAAGCATGTTGACAATTGACAATTTTAGTCCAGTAACTATCTCTCCTTAAAACTCAGTGTTTTTACCTCTAAGATAGGGTCCAAGTTGTTCTGAAACACCATAATGCTTCCTTAATGCTAGCTGCTCAGATTATGAGAAACTGAGAAACCGAGTGCTGAAAGTCAGAGCATCTCAAAGCCTAATATATTGTAACCTGCCAGAGCCATAAACAGATACACTGCAGTGGGCAGATACAGTGCAGTTTGGCATCAGGTATATGGTTGGGCTTGATGATCTTTGAGGTCTCTTCCAGCCGTAATGATTCTATGATTCTATGATTCTCTTGCTGAGCAAGTGACCCAATGTTCTGATTCGTCAGCTCCTGAAATTCTGACACTCGTATTACTGCTTCCTCGCACTCTCTTTTTGAGAAAGTTCAGATTTAACATATCAAATTCTTGTTCTCACAGAGGGTTAGCTTCCATCCTGCTGTTAACACCTGCATACAGAAGATGTACATGGAAAGGGCAGGGAAATTCCCCTGTCTATCTGTCTCCTCATTTGTTCACCGATAGCTGGCATGCTCTTCCAGCTCACTGCAGCATTAAGCATCATGTGGAGCTGAAGCCCTGGGAACAAACCCGAAAGGCTTGTACATGCTCCTATGAGCTGGGAAGGCTCTTCCTGGTTACAAAATACCCAAGGGTGCAGAAGACTTTCTCCACCCAACCACTCTCAGCATGCAGGACTTGTGCCCTCCAGGACAGACTTCTCTTTGAAACCAATTCCCACCTTTAAATCAAAAGCTGCTTGAACGACAAAGCCAAGCTAGAGATTGTGAATAATAGTCTCTGATAATACATTCATTCTTAAAAATGTATTTTATTTTATATAGCCGGTATAGTGACACATTTGCTTTTAATTTCATGGTTCTGTAATCAGTACGAAGCAGTTTTTCAATCTGTTGTCTTTTAACTAAAAAAAACCCGTGGGTGGGAGGACCTGTTTGTAAGTCTGGAGAAAACTGACAGGAAATGCACCTCTTAAAAGGCAAGGAAAGCTTAGCAGTATTTGTTAGAGCACCAGAATTTTATACACCCCCACTCTGCTAAACAAACGATTTTTACAGTGGCCAAGTTAATATAAAAGGTCAGGTATAAATCTGCCACATCAAAATAGAAAGAAAAAGCAATTAAACTGAAGGCAAAAAGGCGTATCAGCACTGTGATGTCAAGAGCAACACATCAGGACTTCTCTTATGCTGCTAGTTCCTTGTTTAAACAACAAGTTGAATATTCTGCTGTTCTTTTCCAAATTATTGATTAGAAAGAAAGAAAGAAAGAAGCAAGCACCATAGTGACCTACAGCTACCAGTCAGGTAATTATGTAGTATCAGCCCACTAGCAACCCTCATGAGAAAGTGTTCCTGCAAAGCCTGGACTGTACCCCAAACCTAGCTTCAATTAATGAGATCCCAAAACATGTGCAATACTTCACAGCTAGTTCTCTGCTTTGTCATAGGATCAAGTTTTTGGTGTGGCACCATTCACAAGCTGCATTTCTCTGTAGACTTGCCAGATGAAGAGGATAACAGAGGCTGATGAACACGGTTTCACAAAACAGCCCTGTTACTCTTTGGTTTTGCTCTTTACGCAGTTTATGGTGCTCAAAGTGGCAGAACTCCATACAGCTCATGGCAGAAAGACAAGGTGCTTATTCTGTCTGAACCGAAAAGTTAATCAGAATGACAAATGGTGAAACATCTATTTGCTTTTTCCTCATTTAAACTTGCCGAACTCTGAATGCAACTTATTTTAGAGAGTGTATGATTCACACTGCAAGAACACATAGTACTACCATGCTGAACAACTTTGTCACATTTTAAGGCTTTTATACCTTCTGTGTGACTTAAAAGTTTCTAGAAATAGGATGAAATTGAAGTTGTATGAAGACTTAAGTAGTATGAAGAAATGAAGATATTAAAAAGGACATATTGTTTAAAAGTGAAAGTGAAAACCAACAAGGTAATTTTCATTTCTCAGAAGTGTATTCCACAGTAGCTGATCTAATGCAAAACTCAAAACTACTGCGTATTGTTAAATATCAGTTGTAAGGGCAGTAAGTGCAAACACTGCATTAATGGATAATGGGGATGAAGCACATTCTCTTACGGTATCAGCAATTTTTCTTATTAAAGCAATATTAACTTTTCTGTAAGAAATAAATAGAGCAGGAAAGGAGGAAGGGTAAAAAAAAGAAATCAATCTCTCTTCCAAGCTCTTCATGTTTACTGGCAAAAGCAGGTTAGACAGCATTTACCTTCGCTGATCCAAACAGTAACATGCTGCATGCTGTGGAGGGTCAGTTAGAATAAAGCTACTTATTAATTATATAGTTTAAGAACAGCCTGCTCTTTTTAAAAAACATATATGAAGTTCCTTTTAAGGGTGAACCCTCTATACCCCTTGACTGCAGACTGTTCACTATAGCTTTAAACAGGAAGTGTGGTAACAACGCTCATCAACAATTACTCGAAGCAAATAAAACCACAGGAGGAGAAAGAAAATTACTGCAGGTGTTAAGAGCTGAATTTAACTAGATTTTTCCCCAAAGCTCAGACTACTATTTAAGGAGAAGGGCCGGTGGGGGAGGGGGGGGGAGAGGAGGAAAAAAACAAAAACAACAACAAAACAAAACAAACAAAAAAAAAAAAAACAAAAAACCAAAAAAACAAACCAAAGTGAAGCATGCTCGAAGTCATGACTAAATATGT